AAAATGTGATTTTTGGTAATTATTTCAAAAATGAAATAAATTTGTTTGACATTTTACTTTGTTGCCAAGTGTTTTTCGAGAAATCAATGAATTTTAAGCGTATAAGTATTTTAWTTTTATTACATATTATATTAAACACGCGATTGAAATGTGAAAAATGTTGTTTATTTTTTTGTGTGAAATATTTTTTGTTTTAATTTTTCAGTAAAAAAAAATAAAAAGTAAATGTATTTTTTAAAAAGAAATCAATAAAAGAAAAAAACGATTTAAGTCACCAAAATTTTAAATATTTAAGCCCAAAATTATATATGTATATATATTTTACGGTAATATGAGCGTTTGAAAAACCCGAAATCATGAATAATTGATAAACAAGCAAGAACAAGACAAATTGTGGGAGCCACACAACAGAAAAGCGCAAAATCGGCATAAATTGTTGAACAATAATACGGCTTTAATTTTTTTGTTTATTATTAATGATTTTTATTTACATTTCAAGCGCATTGGAAAGCAAATCAAATTTCATTTGTGCACATATCAATTAAAATTGCATTAAATATTGCATTCTTTGCCGTCTTTTTTTAATTTTTTTGAAAAGTTTTTCACACTTTACAACGATCACGTTTTTTAACGCGGCATTTTACGCGCAATTTATATGCAAATTGTTTGCCTTTTTCCCTGCTGCGGTTGTTAAAATAATTTTACTTTTACATCGCATTTCTTCCGCTTCGTGTTGTTGCTGAAATATKTTGTTGTAAATGCAAATTTCCGTTGTCGTTTGCTTTTTTGCCTTTTTGGTTTTTGTTGTTGTGCTTGACTTTTGAATTTGTTATTTTGCTTGGCTTTTGGTTTTGTTGTTGTGCTTGGCTTTTGTTGTTTGGTTTTGTTATTTTACTTGTCGTTTGTTTTTTTTTTTTGCCTGGCTACAGCAGGTGCTCTTGCTTGAGCGACGAGAAGTGCATTATTTATTTATCATTCCACACTTCACTTTTGGTGTTGCTATTTTTTATATTTTTCTCCGCTTGTGCAACATTTGTAAATATTGCTTGCTGTTTTTTAGTCTTCTTTATTTCGTTTGGATTTCTTTTATTGGCTTTTTGCCACTTTTATCACACACTCCCGTGCATGTTCGGCTCATCGCGTGCGCGATTTCGTAAATTTCCTTTACTTTCAACTGTGCGTGTGTTTCTGCAGCACTAAGTAGGACAGTCAGGCAGTCTTCCACACATACACGCGTACACTCAAACATAAAGGCATACAACTTTTGCTATCCTCACGCTTTGGAGCCGGCGATTTCCAGTTGCCATGAAATGGTTCCGTTTCAGCGTCTTCGGTTTACGCTTTGATCACCGTGATTTGCTTTTGCTTTTTCAGTTTTATTTTTGCTTAAATTTTATCACTTCTCATTTGCCTTAAGACTACCTCAATTACCAGCGCTGCAAAGCTGAAAAATAAGTAAAAATTTTACCATCCATTTTTTTTGTAAACACCGTGAAACGTTGTATCTTTGTTGTATTTGTCAATAACGGACGTGGAAAAAATTTTCAAAATTAATTGCTGGTCATACATGCATAACAATGGGCACAAAAATGTATGAGTGTGTGTGTGATTTTGCACTTTAAAATTGTTAAAATGTCTTTCTACTTCAATTTACCGCCGCTTCACGTCCTTTGTGGAATTRTTTTGGTGCAATTTGTTTGCCGACAAATGACTTTGGTGTGTAATGCGAAGGAATTCGCAAAAAAATCCATTGAGAAATGTAAAAATTCCATTTTATCGCAAGGAATTTTATTAAAATTTCACCTAAGTGTCGAAAATGAGGCGCGTGMAACTTTSGACATGGAATTTTAAAGKGAGCAAAAGTAACGGTAGCATTAAATGTTGAAAATAATGTGTAAAAATATAAAAATTGCTAAATGCTCGGAAAACTATCTCCATGAAGAAAATTTAGTTTTCTATTAATTTAATTAATAATTTAAATTTTAAATTAATTATAATAAATAAATTTGAATTAATTTTTAATTTTAACAAGAAATATATATTATTCATAACTATTTCTTTTCCTTTAACTATTCAGGTATCATCAATAGTACCGGCAAACTGTGGAAGGATCARCGTCGTTTTTTGCACGAAAAACTACGTCAATTCGGTATGACTTATATGGGCAACGGAAAGCATGTCATGGAGAAGCGTATTATGGTGAGTTACATTTTTGAATTATTTAACATTTTATTTTATTTTTTAAGTATAATAATCTGTTAAATATAGAATCCACATACTGTCGTCATACCAGTTTTTAATTATTTACCATATTATGTTTTTTTAAACAACATGTTCCACATAGAACMCACACACCTTCCTCTCATATTCTCTATTAAAAACTAAATTTCGAAAATAAATAAATAATTAATTGTATAATTTCCGTTTTATAACAATTTTTTTAATTACATACCTAAATGCGTTCCATAAAAAGCGTATTATGGTGCACAATACTTTGTAATTAAAGAATAATATGTTCCACATGCAATCCACATATCTTCCACTTACATTCCTCATTCAACTAATCGTTAATTGAACAATTTCCGTTTGGCAAACAATTTGTTTATTATATACATGAAAGCGTTCCACAAAAATATTACAAGCAAATAATAAACCTGACATTTCATGCTATGCCAGCTAAATAACTTTCAATTTTATGTGCATTCCACAATTGTATTYTCTTCCTCTAATTAATTTGTTTTCTTCTGCTTTAATTTTTCTTCCGCACAGACCGAAGTACACGAATACATACACAATTTACGGGTCTCCGATGGTCAACCCATGGATATGGCGCCCGCTATCAGCGTAGCCGTTAGCAATGTCATCTGCAATATCATGATGTCCGTACGTTTCTCCATTGATGATCCGAAATTCCGCCGTTTCAATTTCCTCATCGAAGAGGGCATGCGTTTATTTGGTGAGATACACACCGTCGATTATATACCCACCGTACAGTACTTCCCCTCGATTTTGACGGCCAAGACGAAAATCGCAAAGAATCGCGAGGAAATGCAGCGTTTCTATCGGGACGTGATCGATGAACACAAAAATACCTATGATCCCACGAATATACGTGATTTAGTCGATTTCTATTTGGCTGAAATTGAGAAGGCCAAGGACGAGGGACGCGACGATGAACTGTTCGATGGAAAGAATCACGGTGAGTAATTCGGTACTAGTCGTTAGTTGCAGAAAATGTAAATTATTGTTTCTCCTCGCCTTTGTTGCATTTTTTCTGCTGGCAATACTAATTATTTTTTATTTCTTTTATCGTATTTTCGCTTCTATAGAGGAGCAAATTGTTCAAGTCATCATCGATCTCTTTTCCGCCGGCATGGAGACAATCAAAACCACTTTGCTMTGGATCAATGTTTTCATGTTGCGTAATCCCGAAGCGATGCGACGCGTACAAGAGGAACTCGATCAGGTGGTCGGACGTCATCGTTTGCCTTCCATAGAGGATTTGCAATTTTTACCAGTGACCGAATCAACAATTTTGGAATCGATGCGCCGCTCTTCGATTGTGCCGCTMGCGACCACACACTCGCCAACAAGGTAAGTCCTTTGAGAGCGCCCTCYTAAGCGCTAAGCTAAAGCAAGTTGTTAGAATAGTGAGCGAAAAGATTATGAAATTTATATAAATATATATGTATGYACATATATGTATATGTTTGTATGTATGTATGTATGTATATGGCAGGTGTTACACATATATTTGTGGCTTGGTTTGTTGCTTTCATCGTGTTTGGCATTGTCTTGGCTTGACATTGCTGTCAGAAATGGGCGTATATTGTCAGCGCGTCCGCTTGTATGAGTCGGGGAACACTCACATATCCACCAACTCAAACATTCCCACATTTAATAGCATCGTGTAGTATTTGTTATTGTTAAGTGGCTGCATTATTAGCGAGGTKTTTGCTGCTGCTACTGCTGCTCTTTCATCATATTTACGGTAATGACCGGTTGTGCTGCTTGCTGCCTACTGCCATTTACAATTTCTGCTTGTTGTTGCCATTGCTGTAGCTTGTTACTTTGCAGGCGGAAAATTRCGCGCTTTGTCGTGCCCGTTTTTCATTCATGCCAATGCATTCATTCATAAAAAATGCGTGTAGCGACAAAATAACAACAACAATAGCAGTGCTAATAAATAATTGCACAGCGGAATGAGTATATGTACAAATGCATAAATGTATAAGACCGTGTACTTGGTGGTCATAAAATCTTCTAGAGGTGTTTGCCAACGTTTCCCATTCATAAAAAATAGCGCGGCTGGATTTTTTTTTCCTGTTATTATTATATCGACCATGAATTTTAAAACATTTTGCAGCCCTAATTAGTTTTATGGGGTTTCAGTATTAATTTTTTATTTGAAATAATTTTTTTCCCAAAAGATATTTGAAAAATATATTGAAAAAATATCAAAAATAATTTTTTTGAAACTTAAAAAAAATATTTTAGTATTAATTTGGG